CTGTCCTGGTGGTCCTTACGCCTGGTCTTCCTGTCCTGGTGGCCCTTACCCCATGGCCTTCCTGTCCTGGTGGCCCTTACACCATGGCCTTCCTGTCCTGGTGGACCCTGGTCTTGCATTCCTGATTAACTCTAGTCTTGTTGTCCTGATAAACCCTGTGTGTCTCGGGCTCTCTGTAGCCCTAGGAATGAGTGACAGGGATGTCCCAAGAGCAGTCACCTTCAGCCTAGGCCAGGGGCTAGGAAAGGGTTTGTTTCTTGCTCTGGTGGTACCTGGGCCACCAGGACCTGCTGGAATGAATCTGGGTGTTTGGTCACAAGCTGAGGTGTGTGGTGGGCCAGGGGCAGCAGTGCCAGGTGCCAGGTGAGCTCTGTAGTGTGGGGTGGATGAGCTGGGACAGGAGGACACCCACGCCTGGAGCCAGGGGCTGGAAGTGGGAGGGACTGTCGTGTGGGTAGACAACCCAGAGGCAAGAGGGGAGATTCTGGGTGTGTGGAGGGGGCCACAGGGGTGGGGCCCTGCAGGAGAGGAGGAGCTGGGGGCCTTGGATAGTTCCTGAGGGGACGAGCCCCACGAGGAAGCACACAGTCCTCCAGGGAGCAGGGCTGGACCTGAGTTGCTCAGGTGTGCCATTCAGCAGCCCTCCAGGAGGTCAGGGGAGTTGGTGAGGGAGGGTCCACAGGGCCAGGGTGGATGCTCATCTGGGCAGCCCGCACAGCAGAGGCTCAGTCCGCTCCCAACCTCTGTAATTGTACATGAAGACCACTCACCTGCCCAGACACCGTGGGGGTCCTCCAGATGGCTGGCACACCCAGGAAAAGGCACCCCTGGCCCCAGGCAGGTGCACTTGCCGTGCCTGCCCCGCCCCCTCCCCTTCCCCAGCCTGGCCTTTGCCTGGCAGCCGTGGGCACGGGGCTTCCTAGAAGCCCAGTTCTGGTTAATTACATTTACTTAATTTTAATGAAGTATAACATAGCTCTGGAACCTTCCACATCCGTGCAGAATCACATTGCCTGACCTCAATGTCCAGCCTGAGCGGTCATTCATCACCCCCTTGGAACCTGGTAGGAGAAGGAAGGCAGAAAGTATGGCCCAGGGCCCAGGGTCGTGGGGCCAGGAGGAGAGAGCAGCTCCCGGCTGTGGGGTCACTGCCCCAGCCCTGCTTCACTGTCTGGCTCTACATGAGGCTGGTTCCCGGTTCCGTCCTCTGACTTTCTCTTGTTTCTTGTCTCCTTGCTCCCCCCAACCCCCCGCCCTGTCTTTCCTGGGGCCTGACATCCCACCATGGGCCCCTGTCCCTCCTGGGGTGGACAGAGAGAGTGGGTGGAGGCCTGGCCAGAGGACAAAGGACTGGCTCGGCCGGGTCCTGCCCTTGTGATGAGCCAGTGCCTCCCGCCCTGAAGCTGTTTCTCTACTGGTCGGAAGATGACTGGCCCCTCTGACGTGCATCCCCCTCTGCATGTTCCTTCATGGGATCTGCATAGTTTCCTTATTGATGGGGGGTGTCTGCCCAGGCAACCCTCTCAGGGCTCCTGAGGGGACGAGCTATGAGTGTGCTGGGTGAACAGGGTAGGGGCTCTGAGTGGCACAGGAAAGGGTGGCTGATCCCATCAGGTACCTGCTGGGCCCCCGAGGCCTGCAGGGCACTGTAGTCACGCTGTTTTTACCAATGAGTAAGCTGAGGTCAGGGGCTCTTTGGAAGGGGGAGCTGCGATGGGACCCCACTCACCTACATCCTTTTGCCATCAGGACCTCCATCTACAGGTTCAGCTGGGAGAAGGTGCTCACCTAGGGGAAAACCACGCCCCATGGTGGCCAGTCAGAGCTTGTTTGAGCCAATGGATTTTGGGTGTGTGTTGGGAGGAGGTGCCCATGCCTTTGGCACAGGGTGGCAGCTCGGTCGCTGTGGGAGCCAGAATGCAGGCCTGTGGATCCTGCAGTGTCAGCAGACGGTGCCCTCCCCTGCTGTGTGGTGTTTCGAGCCAGCTTGTGACCTGGGATACCTCACCCACTGCCCACAGGGCCTACCTTTGGGCCTGGCAATGGAGCAAGGTGGGACAGGACTCCCAGGGCCCTGGGGACCACACAGACCCTGCCGCAGGTGTGTCTGTCCCAGTCCTGAGTCTGCCCGGCCACAGGGGAAGCTGTCCCTAGCTCCTCTTCCCACAGCCTGGAGGACCTTCTAGGTCTTCAGTCCTGGGCAGAGACCTGTGGGGAGCTGGTGGGTCTCAGACCTTCCCCTTGACTTCCACCCCACCAGGTGGCCATGTCAGGTGCTGCTGCCTATGTTTGGGTACCTCTAACATGCCAAGTGCCGTGACTTAGCAAGGAAGGAGGGAGGAGGAGGTGATTCTCTCACAGCTCAGGAGGTCAGAAACCTAGACCTTTTTGGCAGAGGAGTGAACCAAATGCCTGCTTGTATGTTCATGGAAAGTGGGGAGGCTGTCGGGGCAGCAGGTGGTGCAGGGCAGAGGCTGGGTCAGGTGAGGGGCTCATGGCTGCAGCCTGCTAAGAGCAGTGGAAGCCCATGACGGGCTCCAGCAGCATATAAGCAGGGGAGAACTGAAATGAGAGAGCAAGGCCAATTGTGTGAGTATCCCGCGGCTGGCGAGAGGTGGGAAGACGAGTTCGGCAGACTGGCCAGTTGTGGCTGGCTGTGTGGCCTGCAGCAGGGGGTGGCGCAGTAGATGGGCGTGTGCAAAGGCCAC